TGTTAGCATAAACATTAATTTATTTTACAATTGTTTGTGTAACTATATTTTGTAAAATACTGTAGATAATAATAACTATTCAGTTAATATTTGACAAAGGTTTATGTATATATGATATTAACTCATCTTGTTTAATTAGAAAATTAAATGACACGTTAATTGAGAACTGCTTGATCTTCATTTACTGTTTCATTGGCAATATTCATTTTAACACATAGTTATACGTTATTCATATCCTGTGTCGCTTATCGATGCACAAATGTTGAATGAATTAGCTACACGAGCTCACGTGTGTACATGCATGTGTTTGTAAAAATAACGCAATTGGGCTTGAAATTTATCTTACCCCACCCTTTGCGATTAATAACAAAAAGTGTATTACCGGGCGCGATTCAATGACATCAACTTTGAGATTCAACGTGCACCACAGAAAATATGCGTTAATTTATGTTCAATTGTGTGTCCAGAGCAAGAAACGTCCACACATCAGTGTTCTCAGAACAACAGCATCTATGACAGACATATGTCTTTAAATGAGAGCTAGAAGTATGAAACCTTAATTAGCTCACGCTTGACTTAATTATTTGGTCTAGCATGCAGCGCGTTGACACAACGGAGTGAGATTACGTCCGCTATCAATATGAGGCGCGTGCGTTATTCATCATAGCGTTCGTTACGTACGTGTGGATTTGCAGGCGACTAAAGCTGCGTTCACACGAGGAGAAAGTTGCGTTCACACGCTAAAATATACGCGGCTTGCTTAGCCACGGCTTGCTTAGCCGCGAATGCTCCGGCTTGCTAAGCGCGGAATCATATTCCGCGCCAACTAACGTATATTCGGCACCACGCTGGCCGCGTATTGATTGTCGTGTGAATCTAGACTGCTACCCGTTCGCTGCACGACGTTAGGGTAGCGTGTGGAACTGTCGACCGGCCCGGGTACCAGTCTATATTATACCGCGCTAGCTAAGCTTCGAATCTCGTGTATCTCGTGTGAACGCATTTTAACCGGACTTAGCACCAACTAAGTACGGTACCAGCTAAGCCGTGTATACGTGTGAACGCAGCTTAACATAACGCACATAAATACAGAAATAGCACCACGCACGAGAAAAATAAAGATGTAAAAATAATAAGCTATGCGACAGGGAGAAAACTAAGGGAAGAAGCAAAATATGAATTACACACGATCACGCGCGCACGAAACCGCACACCCACGTGCGCACAACACGCATACACAACGGATGAACGCTCAGGAGCAATCATGCACACACACGCACGCATACATACATGCGACCACCCGCGCGCGCACACACAGACCGCATGCACGCCCGCGCACACACACAGACCGCATGCACGCTCCCGCACACACACAGACCGCATGCATGCTCCCGCACACACATTCACGCGACGCGGTCACAAGGCAGTATTTTACCGAATGAATATATTATGTGCTTATATTCGCAAGCTATTTTACTAAGTCTTGATATTCCACATGAGCTGAGTGAAATTTAGAAATTTAGTTATATCAGACGATTACAACATTATTTGGAAAGCCTTATCTAAAATACACTTGTGTGTTTTCTATCGACGTCATAGATAAATTATTATTATTATTATTATATATTATTATAATTATTCCCGACAGCAGATGGCGCCACAATTTTAAAATGACATTTCCTAATGCTAGTGGATGGTGGCGCCCCCAGAGAAAAGATCGGTACATTGTAAAGTAGGTAGATAGATAGATAAAACGATGAACCGATAGATAGGTAGACAGGTAGGTAGAAAGAAAGATTCTCTGCTCGATGTTCTGGCAATTTGACGGGAGCAGTTCAGTTGTTGACGAGGTCCTTTACGGTGTTCGCGGCTTCTCATTAAGTAGGATCCTGTTCTCATCTTCTTTTTGTCGCCTCCCTGTCCTCCTTTTCAATTTTTTGTGCAGGCTTGACGCAATGCCCGTGGGATCCCAGTAAAAGATTTTGGCATCTTGGTTTTTTTACGTCGGATGCCCGCAAGCTGCCATCTCTCTTCTCTTCCTCTCTCTCTCTCTCTTCTGCTTATGTCTATCTGATCTTCCCCTCTCTCATTCGCTCGTTCGCTCTCACTTCCCCCCTCTCTGTCTGTCTGTCTATCTGTCTGTCTGTCTTCCTGTCTGTCTATCTATCTATCTAGCTTTCTAGCTATCCAACCATCTTTTCATCCATTTATCTATCCATCTATCTAGCTATTCTCTATGCCATCCCAACGCATTCATGCCATCGCAATCGCATCATCATGTCATCCTTTTCCATCCATCATCATTCATCATCCCATGCCATACGCACCTACCTATCGGCATACATCCATCATGCCATTCATGCATCTATGCTAGAATAATCTATTTATAATCTATGCGNTATATTATTCTTTATTCTTTCTTGTGTGTTGTTATTTGTTATATATATATATATATATATATATATATATATATCAGGAGTAAATAATATCAAAGGTTTTTGACACATATGTTTCTGCATTTTTACCGATTTTCCTTTATTATTCGTCCATCTTGTACAGAAATCGATTTATAGCAACACGACAGTAAATAGCTACAAACCAATTTTCAGTAAAAAATGGGCGAATAATAAAGGTATCTAATAAGCTTTTAACATTACATGTTTGTTGGAAACGTACATTATACATAATCAGTAAAAACTCGGGGGGAAAATACGTGTCAAACTCCTTTGATTTTACTTCATAATCATAGTATATATATATAATATATATATAATATATCTATATCTATATCTATATATATATATATATATATANCTGCTCGACATATCCGTTGCCGTGGCAACGAGAGACGCACGACTCGATGCCACAGTGACGTGGAAACACAAGACAGATACGACCGCAACCGGTGACATAGGTACGTGCGCCATCTACGCATTATCGAACACATGTTAATGTCATGATTGTCATCAATACATGTTACGTATCTACTGATTGTTTCACAAAGCATGGTTAACTACATATAAATATAGTTATATTTCACTGTCCATGCAGGATACTCAATAGTCTGGAAAAGAACGAGCTGCAACAAAGACAGCGCCTATCCTGT